CTTTGAATCGGCCTTAATTTACCTACATTTTGAAGCTAAGAGAATGAATTTTTTCACCCAGAATAAAGATCAGCGTCTGAATTAATTCAGCGGGACTAAATTAAATTTGGGTCGCGCTAAATTCGAATTCAATTCGGTTCTTGTAAAGTATGGCGTCTGCACCGGGACAAAGACGAACAATGTTGGGACTGCCAATCAAAGAAAATGACTGAGTCAGGAGCGTCAGGGATCAATCTAAATTCTTCTAGAAGTGCTTGTTAAGAATACCTTAACTGTGTATAATTCGTATATTTGTTTTAAACAAATAGAACAAAAAAATTCAAGTGAGCGCGAGTATTTTTTCACTTGGTGCACAGAAAAAGGAAAAAATTATGAAGAAAAGCGACAGCGATAAAGATAAAGATGTACAGTGAAACCTTCGGTCCGCTTTATAGAGCTTTAACATTCAGCGGTTACCCTGTACTGTGATTAAGTTCCATGTTGTTATGGAAGCAAAGGAGGAAGCTAAAGAAGCTGTGCTGTACTTTGTGAAAGACTTTTAGGTGAACTTTGATAGAAATTAGCCAAATACTATAGAGGCTGTCCGCTTGATTGGGGGTCCGCTTAACAGAGGTTTCACTGTACTCTTTCATGAAGAACAAGTATGAAAAGTCTGGACTCCCGCCGTTTGTGTACAGAAATTGAATTAAAACACAACGACGACACAACAGAGAGGACAGCAAAATAACGATGCCTCAGCGCGGAAACCGGTCGTTTCGATACAAATCGTTTCGATACGAACTCAAGCAGTAAAATTGCCCAAAAATTTCGTTGACCTAAGTACAGTCTTGTGCTTGAACAAGAAGAACATTTGGGGTGAATATTCTTCGGTTCCTTACGCCAAGTACGTGGAACTATTTACACTTCGACTGAATAAACTTGTAACGAAACGGCTGGTATCGAAGCGACCGGTCACCCTCAGCACCAGTGTCTTTTGCATATTCGGTACATCTCTCGCCGTTTTTTATATAAGAATAATGTGAAACGGTAAATTTAAGTTTTTGTGAAGCGACAGGACGGTAGATTTTACTCTTCAAATTTACACGCCGGACAATTCAGTTACACAACAAAACGCAGACAAATTTAAACAGTTTTCAAATAATTTTAAGGAACTATTTTTTAAGCGAGGTTTTCTCTGCCGCAGCCGTCGTGGTAGCCTAAACCCCCGGACGTAGGTCTCTAATGAGTTCGGAGGTGAAAGAAAAATGACCATACATGTACATCCACTTTCTGACAAAGCAGTCGAACAACGGCTCGCTGCTACATCATGTCACAGCTCTGAAACTCAAAGGGCAACTCCCCTCTTGTCTTTGAATGCGATGACATTACACGCTTGTCAGTCCAGTTCAAAAAGTCTTTTTCACAGCTCCTCCGTCCCTGACGCTAGTCTACTCCATTCTTCTCCACTTCCGCAGCAACAGCGGGTGCCTCGTCCATTGGTATTTCACCTTCGCCACCATTGAAGGACTTAGAAATTAAAATGTTATTTGTTAAAAACATGGAAAAAAGAAAAACAAACAAACAAACAAAGAGTATCATTAGCAGGAATGCTGAACTTCCCTTGTAATTTAGTTGCACACGACAAGTACGGTGAATGAAAAAAAAAAAGGAAACTTGAGTTAGACTCGCCACAGCTAGGGGCGTAGCCAGCCCACAGACCTGTAGGCCTGGGCCAACAAATTTTTGGTTTGATCACTCTACTGCTTGTAATAAATTATGCGATGTTGGTTAAGAGCTCAAAGTTTTGGTGAGGTCAGTGCTTACTAGTAATGCATGCAATTTTTAGGTTGTGTAGAAATGAAAGTCAGCCAGGTCTACAAATAGTCGAAAAGCTGGTTACGCCCCTGACAGCACATGTAATTAAGGGTTACAAAAAAAACTGAACGTTCAATACATTAACTGACCAGCCACACCGGTTAAGTCGTTAAGGGAATTTCATTATAAACCATGACACCACGACTCTCCCACCAGATCAGTTTGTTTACAGCTGAAAAGTATGCAGGGAAGTGATAGGTAAAAACTCTCGAGAAAAGCCTATCTCACTCTAAAATTACCGGTCCGGCCTGCCAGGCTCTGACTTTTGTGAAGCACCCTCAATAGAATTAAAGCAAAACTGGTAAATTTCCGTCTCACTACAAGCTAGCCCAATCGATTTTGAAACGCAAAATTTCCCTCCGTACATAAGCCCCCCCGAATATAAGCCCCTCCAAAAATAAGCCCCTCTAAAAGGGCCTTTGAAAAATATAAGCCTCGGGGCTTATTTTCGGAATTCTACGGTATGTGGTTTCTTCTTTTCTTGAATAGGGGGGTATCCTGTGCACGACCGAGGAAATTCATTCTTTAAATGGGTATGTTGACCAAATATGGGAAACCATAAACACTGTCACAGGACCTCCAATCATTGGAGCTAATTTTCAGCTGAGTTCAGTGATGACTCAGGTCTTGTCAGGTGCTGTTTTAGTTTTATCTGCTGCAAGATAACTGTACGTAAATACGTCCTCATGAGTCATGGACAGCAAGATTCAGGGGTAATGTAAACTTCCTTCCCTATTTTTTAGTTTTGATCTTGAAGTATTTTTAGAGTTCAGCAAGAGTGAAATTTCAAAATGGCGTGTGGTACGTAACACTCTAAATTCGAGATTTCTCTGAGAAAAAAAGGTTAAAACAAATCATAGAATAAGAGTTTGTTCTCGTAAATTCAAACTGCCGGTTTAAATTACAGAAAAAAGAGTTCTATGAATTGCTTTAATTTTTTTGTAAAATAAGAAAACTAAATAGAGAGATTCGAAGCAATCTCGAATTTAGGGTGCGTAAGGTGTTATTTTAATAATAAAGAGGGTCTTTTTCTCGCATTAAAAGCGCAGAATCAGGCTTAAGCGTAAACGTACACGGAAATAGAAAATACCATCTATTCACATATATTTTATTTGATCCTTCAAGGTTTTCAACTTTATATTATTTGTAGTTTAGTGCACACATTATTCCCTTGCCCCACTGAGACTGCATCAAGTCAGACCAAAGCAAATCATGCCTTGTTCACATACGTTTATCCATAATAAGGGCCGGCTATATATCTTTTCTCCACATTGTTGAGGGCAATTCCTTTGGTTTTGAATTTACAACACCTATGAGAAAAACATTAAAATACCCATACTTGTGATGCCCATTGCATGCAACAACTCTCTTTGGAGGTCACAGTAAGTTTTGTGTAGTAACGCTATAGTACAACTAGCAACGGATCTAGGATAAATACTGACCAATTTCCTAAATGGACGCCAAAGGCACATGCTTCTAGAGGGGTCCTTCAGACAGGATAAAATTTGGCCAGTTCTATTAAACTCGGATAATTAGCCAAGCAAATGGATGGATTATTATTTTTTTAATGCCCGGAAATTGGAAAAAAGCAGTTGTCCAAACCATTTACCGGACTTCAACTTGGAAAGTTCCTTGTTATTAAAAATATATTTATTATGAAAAAATCTGACCGATTTTCATAAAACGGTGGAAACTGGTGTGGATCTGCACCTGAGCGAGCCTGGTCAACCATGGGAACAACAGAAACAAGAAAATAAAAAAGCAACAGGTTAAAAATTGATAAGGAAAACAAAAACTCTGAATGTACAGCATACTTTTTCTTATATTTCTTTTCCCTTATTGCATGGCTTATGTTATCATCATTTCCTCGATAGCAATCATTGCGACTCCTATTTCTTTGGAAATACCCATTACAATGTAAGAGTCTCAAATATTTAAATACATACATTATTGTTGGCTTATACAGTGCCTGAAAGCACAAAACATTCACAAAATTTGCTGTCAACGGATTTGGATGTTTTAAGAAAGTTTTACAACTCAATTGTAAAACGCAGTTAATGGAGCATGACGCCCTCAATCAACAACATGTAACGCAGTGTTATGCTATAGCCCTTATCAAATCTCATAGAAGTTTACTCGTGGTGGGTAAAACTACTGGGTAGTACGTAAAATCACGGCTATAGCTGGGAAACTACTGATACAATAGCAATCCTTGTTTTTTGTTGCAGTTGAGGCTAGTTTCTAATGTATCGCTCATTTTGTATGGCTAGTAAAAATAATTTTCCTCATGCATATCTCGTGGAGCACTTTAGGTGCACGTTCTGTTCTGTAGAACAGTATTTTTCATTGGCTTACCTTGTGATAGCACTCGGACTATAAAAGGGCTAGTATTAAAAAGTCCTGTGTCTCATTCCGAGCTGTATTGCGAAGTTGGTTACTTCAACCGTCCTAAAGTTTTGTAATTCCCACCCTTCCCTCCCTTTGGAGGCTTTGTTGCTGTTACTCACCGCTTTCTTCCACCTTTGGTTTAAGTCTCACGGCGACTTCCCCAAGCTTTGATTTTAACGCAAACTTTTATATTATTTTGATTGTATTCCAGCACGTGCTGGCGGAGTCGGCTCGTAGTGCTGCTAAGATAAAGTTCCTAGAACAAAATATTTGCCTACGCCGTTCCATTAAGTTGCACGATGCTGGCCGGAGGTTTCAGCTCGTAATGCCGTGGAGTGTTAGGCCGTATCAAGTTTGTTTCTTTCGGACCTACCTGAACTTGTCCGATCCGGCGCGTGTAAATTAGCGCCGGGGAGATAAGTAAGGCTTATGGTCACGCTATGGAAGTCGTCCACCACGCCGATCGCAGAGCGGTGTTCCCCCCATTACGCCATCTGTTTGTTGTCTTATTTTATTACACTTTATTGTAAAGTCTAGCTAAAGGAACTACGACATTAACACAAATTAAGGTATAAAATTTCTGTCCAGCAATGATCTGCTGGAGAATACTACTCCTAGCTGTGGGTGGTCCATGAATAGTTGGCTGGAAATTCAAGCTTTGAGAGCAACTGCAAAGACAGTTATAGTGTAAATTCCAAAACACTGCTGAAAGAACGTTGTTTTGCTTAAATTATTTTGCAAGAGTAAGTATTTTTAATTTGTCTTCCAGCTCCAAACTATCAGCTACAGTTCCTGCATTCATTCCTGGGAAGACATACACAGGAGTAACATCTGGCGGGCTTTCCAGTGAGTTGGTTATCAAATCCACTCTTTCACCTTTTGTGCCAGAGTTCCGTCCTTCGGGGTCCTTTGCTCCTCTGTTGTCAGCACCCTATCAACCCACCTGCAGTTTATTACAGCACAACAGTAAACAAGCATATCTCAAGCATCAAAAGGTTGATTTAAAAGAGGTATGTAGGTCAATAATGGAAATGTTCTTGAAAACTTTTACTGCATTGAAAAATGAAAGTGGTTATTCCCAGTGTTACTAGGAAAACCATAAACACCTTAAATTTGTCAAGAATGGTTTTTGTTCTCTTGCCAATCATACTCTGAAAGGACTTTCATGCTCCAAAACCACAAACAATTCAACAGTTGTCATTTGAGCTTGATCAAAATTTGCAGTATGCCTTCGGACTCCTACAAAATGCAAACTGAAAAAATCCTGAAATTAGCAGCAGAATAAAATAATGATGCAGACAAAGGCAAGAATCTCGTCCAGAAATAACAGTTTCTTTATCAATANCTTTCACCTTTTGTGCCAGAGTTCCGTCCTTCGGGGTCCTTTGCTCCTCTGTTGTCAGCACCCTATCAACCCACCTGCAGTTTATTACAGCACAACAGTAAACAAGCATATCTCAAGCATCAAAAGGTTGATTTAAAAGAGGTATGTAGGTCAATAATGGAAATGTTCTTGAAAACTTTTACTGCATTGAAAAATGGAAGTGGTTATTCCCAGTGTTACTAGGAAAACCATAAACACCTTAAATATGTCAAGAATGGTTTTTGTTCTCTTGCCAATCATACTCTGAAAGGACTTTCATGCTCAAAACCACAAACAATTCAACAGTTGTCATTTGAGCTTGATCAAAATTTGCGGTATGCCTTCGGACTCCTACAAAATGCAAACTGAAAAAATCCTGAAATTAGCAGCAGAATAAATGATGCAGACAAAGGCAAGAATCTCGTCCAGAAATAACAGTTTCTTTATCAATAATTCTTAAGAAGCTTTGTCCTCAGAATAGACCGTTCTTTACAATTTCCTTGAGTAGTGGTTGGTTTTGTACAAAGTTCCAGTCCAGTCGGTAGAGCACTTGACTGCAGAGCGGGAGGTCGCGGGTTTGATTCCTGTGGCTAGACCAATACTCACGTTCTTAAAAATAACTGAGAAATGAAGGTACTTCCTTTGCACTTCAAGCGGCTAGACCTTTGCGTATTAACTTGGATGACAACGTAAAATGGCGGTCCCGTCTCCAGTTAGGGATGTGTAAATAGTGTCCCCAATTAGTACTTTCCTGCTAAATACACTGACACTCAAATAAAGTACTTTATTTAAAATTATTGTTTAGCACTGACAGTTGGTATTAACACGCTGTGTCACAAAAGGCAAAAAAGGAAAGTCCTAAAATTTATATTGCTTTTGAGCATCCATTACTTTTGGAGGAGACTGTTGTTTGGTTTGGTTGCTACTTTTGGAACTCTATGTTATTCTTTTTACAATAACTTTCCACTGTGATGTAATATGCGACTACATTGTATAACTTTATTACGCACCATTTTCTGCAGAATGTATCTCATGGAGCAGACCAGACAAGCTTCCAAGATACAGCCAACAAGAGCACAACCAAAGTTAAAAAGCCTGATAGTGCAGAGAAAATTCGAGAGTCTCAAAATGTATCAGGAAGCAACTCAAGTGAACACCTCACAGAAAACTGTGCGAATGTGAGCAAGAAAAAAAGACAGAAAAAGAGGAAACAATCTAATAGTCTTATCGATTATCAAGGCAATGAGGAAAAAACAGAAGGAACTACAGAAAAAGCTTTGCATCAGGAGAAAGATGTTTCTCCACAGAAAGTCACAGACGACATGGTCTCTAGTAAGGAAAATGGGGTCACGACTTCACAACCAAACTGTAAATCATTACTTTCCTCTTCTAAAAGTACCAGTTCTTCTGAGGTTAATACTAAGGATGAGAAAGCAAACATATCCTCTACAAATCATGATTCACATAATAATAAAGCACAATATCCAGCTCCCCACTTAACTGTAAGTTACAGTGATAAAGTGAAGAACTCATCATTAAATATAAACAGTAGTGCGAGCAAACGTGCACTAGGAGACAAATCTTGGGTAAAGAATTTTACTGTGGAAAATTCCAACAAAATTGTTGACGCTGTTGATCTAGCTCATAGTTCTAAGATTAATGTTGACAAAGACAAAAGGACATCTAACCTAGGTAGCAAAAAGAGAAGGGCTTCAAATAGTGGACGTTTAAGTAGTGCACCTATTAAACCTCTGGATTCAACTTCAGGGGGAGATGATGAACATTATCAACAAAAGTACTGTAATTCATCAAACTCAGAGACTTCAAACTTAAGGCAAATACCAAGGACAGGAAAGTTCATGGAAAGAAACAACAGTTTTAAGAAAAATGCATGTGATGATGATGATAACTGGAGAGTTAAAAAAGAACTTTTGCCTGTGGCAGATTCTTCAACTTCACAAAAAATAGATTCAGTTAAAAAAGTGAATACCGAAAATCCCAAGTCTTGCAAAAAGATAACAAGCCATCAAAAGGGGGAAAAGAGAGTTATGGACTCAAAGAAATATAACAGTGATGATAGCAGAAAAAAGTCCATGGATGTCATGGATAAAATACCCAAGACTTCAAGTAATCAGCGAACGTCTTCTGACAATAATGGTTCAAGTTTGACAGAATCAAGTACCAAACGTCCAGTTACTAAACTTGACAGTGAAGTTGCAATTATTAGCTCTCATGAACCAAAGATAAATCAGTTGCCAGTTGCTTCAGTTAACACTGCTTCATCTAATGTTGCGGCAATGAAAGGTGAATTTCCTGACTTAATGGAGAGCACTAAAATTAAAAGAGTTCCAATTACAGATGGGTTAACAGTTGGTTTTAAAGAGACAGTGACCCCTTCAAAGCCACCTGCTACTCCGTCTTACAGTGCTGTGTTAAGGTCAATACCAAAACCAAAGGTACGTTTTAGATTCTCAGTTTACAGCTTTAACATCCCCAGTAGGTACAGAGAAGGACATGGTAATGTTTTGTATAATTTTCAGCTATATACACTGTAGACCCTTTTCAGCTGGATGCCACACAGACTTTCTCATGCAAAATTTATGGGATATACAACTTTAAAAGTTTTAGAGATGGAAAGAGCGCAATTTTGGGGTTTAAGACTCTTAATTGTTATATTTCATGACAGTTTGAATTATGGAGAAGTTACATACCGAGCATATCTTTGGAAAAAGAAGTCACTGGATAGCGCACCTTGCAGTTGGGCAATTTTTTGCATACAAACCCTTATCAGTTTTCATACATAAAAGCTTTATCTCATGGGTCGGTCAGTCAGGCCCTCTGACCAATTAACTGCCCATGCTCTTCTATCCATAGTATGTTTAAATTGTGTCTTGTCAAAGTAACTTTGACCAAACGTGTGTTAATTCTCGGCTTAAGTGCAGATCTGCATCACAACTGATAGCTGGTCTCCTTTGCGTAAGGTAGCATACTGTAAAGCAGGTAGTCTTGTGACCTGGACTCCTTGTTATAGATAATTTAAGAGTGATCATAATTTGAAGTGAGTGAAAAGTACATGAACCTGAGCCTTGCTATCTGAAGGGGGTGAATATGCGAACAGATCTGCAGATTTTGAAAATATTTTTGCCCGGATATTGGATTCAAAGTGAGATTTTAACGGATTTCTGGATCCTGGAATTACAGCGGATTGCGGATTCATCTATTTGTTGGGCGGATTTTGGACTTTAGGTGTAATTGATATATTTTTGCCCGGATTTTGGACTCAGGGCAAAAATGGAAGGGCAGATTTGGTTAATAAATCATAATGGATCGGCGGATTTGTATACCCCTGTTCACCCCCCTCCTAACTTTTATCCTTGTGACTTAACAACTAATATGGTCATTTCTTCTTGGAATAGTCAGTCATGGTCCCTACCGCATGGGAAAATGAAAAACCCTCAACACGAGCTGGTCTGCTGAAGGTTCCTTCTCACTCGGGAGCAGACCAGGCAGAAAGTGAACCGGGGCAAGAAAATTCACCAACAAAGAAAAAGAAAAAGAAGAAAAAGAAGGCAGCAGAGAGTGGGGGGCAATCTCAGGAAGGTGGTTCAGCTAAACGCACTCAGAAGCCCATCCAGTTTGACCTTGGAGTTATGCTTCAAAATATATCAGTAAGAATCTTGAAAATGTTGGCACAACTTTTGCACACCAATTCCCCCTTTTCTCATCCTTTATGTCAATGATGCATTTTAGTGGTGTTTTTATGTTGTTTGTTTGTTTGTATTCTTTTTAGCGTGGTATTTTCATAAAGTATGTTAATTCAGTAACATGTTTAAGGTTTCAGCATCCATCATAGTTATGTTCAAGGGTGTTTACAATTTTGTTACAACATATAAAGTTACGTTAACGAAAAAGAAGTCATAATTACCAGTATGTATTTTAAAAATAGTATATGATTACATTGTCATATGACTTCATACAGATGATTGCAAATCTGTGAAAATATTACATAATACTAAGAAGTATAACTTAATAGTGAATATGACATAATAAGTTTACTGTAAAAAATATATTTAATACATGTTTATGTTGTGGTTCAATTTATCCTTGGTTTAAATTTTATTTTCCTTTGTCTTTGGGCATGGTGATGTACACTGATGAAATATGAGTTGAAAACAAAGGAAAGTAAAATTTAAACCAAGGATGAATTTCAACAACAACATATATAATAACTAGGGATACAGAAATTGAAAACTGTAGAAGTTATATTAACAAGGAAGACTAATAATAATTTATTAGTCAAGCAAGAGTGTTAAATGTTGACTTGTTTTGCATTTACCATGAGCTTTCCCTGTTATCACTGCCACAGTCTTAATTTTTTTTTACTTATTATTTAATATTCTTTACAGTATGTATCGGTATCACATCATCTGTTTTCACCTCTTGGTATAATTTATGTAATATTTTCACAGATTTGTATCGTATCAAGTTACCTGTAATACATGATTAATATTTCCCCAATTCCTAGAACTTCTTAATCATTAACTTTATTTATAGTCATAAAAATAACAGTAAACATCCTTGAACTTATGATAGGTACTGAAGAATGTGAGATAATTTTCGTAAACTCAAATGTTGTGCTGTTGCTTTGTAATGTTTAAAATGGCTATTTTCTTACCAGAAAACATTCATAGTAACCACATTCTATTTGTATCTTTTTAATTATTATTGGTTATTTCCTTACTTTTTTTAGAAGAATAGCCCAGAGAAGACACAGCAAAGTGGCAAGAAGTTGGTGGTGGCTACGGGTGTATTACCAACTCAACTATCAGCAGCAGCAGCATCTTATGAGGAAAAACCTGCAGTCATTTCACCATTAAGGAAAAGCGAAAACAAGGTAAAAATTCCAAGAAGATCACTTTGTATTTTGCAAGCACAAACAACAATATTAATACAGAATCCATTAGGAAATTGAGTTAATTTTTCAGTTGACAAAAACCTTGAACCAGAATATTTTAAGCCATATTGCATTCTTTTTTACACTTTTCAAGGGCTATAGATGTAATTAGTTACCTGTAATAACACCAAAGACAATTTCTTACGGGAGCCCACGAAAATAAATTTCATCTTTTAATTTCATAGGAACTGAGAAAACACAGGTAACATTGTCATGCATAAGATTTCATTTTGTGAAATTTGAGGCTTTTGAAATTTGTTTTCTTGGGCTCCAATAAGAACCTTTTCTTCAGAATTATTTTATTCAACTTATTACATTTATAGCCTTTGAAAAGCGTGAAAAAGAATACAAGATTGAAATTATTCTGGTACAAGGTTTTTGTCGACTGAAAATTAAAATTTCTCAATTTCCTAATGGATTTCTTCTTAATCATGACTTCTCTTTAGATCCCTCATAACAAACTGGACTCAACTGCTCCTGTGATCAAACGAGGCAAAGAGAGAGAAACTCCAGCCAGAAAAAAGCCCAGTGCTCTAAAGAAGGTAATTACTCACTTCAGAAACTCTAGGAAGAATAAGTACAAGCTTTGGATACTGTGATTTCTGAGCTCATTTGGGTGGGCAAGCGTTAGTTATGATTGGTCGATGGTATTCAAGGCAACCATTAACCAGTCATAAGTAACGTTTGTCCACCCAAACAATCCCAGAAATCATTGCACCAAAAGTTTGTACCAATCTTATAGTTTCTAGAGTGAAAAATTATTTTTTACAATAAAACTGTAATGTCCTTGGTGCCTTTTAAAGCTACTTCACAATATTATTGTTGGTATTTACTGTCATACGGTCAAATATAAAAATCTGAAGCATTCAATGAATAAAGTCAAGAATCTGCAAGATGATTGAATTAAAGATACAAACAATCTCACCAAGATTCAGTTCAGGCAGTTTTTCATGACCATTTGAGATGTTTGAAGAGATAAATTATAAATAATGGTAAGTGACCCTTATTTTTTTTGGCAGGAAGGGGAAATGTTGGGATTTGAGGGGGGGATGCAAAAAAATATAGCTTAAACAGGGGGAGGGGGCCAGGCAAAACATATAGGGCATAAAGGGGAGGTCACCATATAAAATTCCTTTGGTCAACAGCGCTAGCTTGTTATGAAGAATTGGCTGTGAGATTTGAGCCAATCAGAAACAAAGGGAAATTTTGAATGAATAATAATAAAACTTATTTTGATACTTTTTAGATATTACAATGTAAAAGAAATCTACATCTTTTTAAGTATTTTTCTTGTATACTTGCAAAATCTTTGAAATTCAACATGCTGTATGACAAAACAAAATAATAAACCCAGTCAATCTGACAATTTTTAAAACTTCGTGTTCTGCAGCTCCCCTAGATATCTTATTAAAATTAAAATTTACGGGAGTTGGTAATTTTTGTTTCCATATTTGATTAAAACCAGAATAGATCATCCATGGCTCGAATTTAACAGGTGCCCAACTGTGGGGGGGGGGCAGGTAAAATTTGTTGTGTTCACGTAAAATATTTAGCCCTGTTGTCTCCAGGGCGACTAACTTATCACATCAAAACTTCTAACAGTTATTTATATTTCATGCTGTATGTTAGATCATACTGAAAGAGAGGGAAGAGAAGAAGAAGGCGAGAGAAACATCTGAAAGTGGTGATGTGGAAATGTCTAATGACAGTACAAATAGGTAAGAATAAATAGATAAAAAATAAATAATAAATAAATAACGATTTGCAGGTAGCACATCCACATAGTGGTTCTTTGTCTACCTGATTCTACCCTGCAAACAGAGTCTCCTTCGATCTTCTGACTTATCTAGAAAAGATCAAAGCGACTCTGCTAGCAGGGTAACCTGATTCCTGGTCAAATTGGAATTTGGTAGTCGTTCCGGATCCAGACCTTGAGGTAAGGAGGTGGGGGTGGGGCAGTTATCCAGACCCTGAGATAACGGGGGGGCTTGGTCCCCAAAAAATTTTTCTCAGGCCTCAGTTTGGTCTAAAAGTAAAGGGGGGCTGGCCCCTCCCCTGGATCTGCCACAGGGTAGTAGTTCATTTAATAGCTACCCACATAGCTTTTGTTTTGTACTTGAAAAAGGAAAAAAGAATAGGCAAGGCTTGTAGAAGAAACAAATAAAGAGGTCTGTGTAAACAACAAACATGAGACAATTTGCTTATTTAAAAAATTGCTCAAAAGATGCATTATTATTTTTATGTCAGTAAGTCGTTATCTGTTTCTGTCTTTTCTTTTAATAGAAGGATTTATTTTCAAGGTAATTGACTTAAAACAATAAATTGTTTCAAAGTCAATCTTGTAAGAGGAATGCACGAAGACTTGCTCTTTCTCGTTTTTGTTGTTCTCTCTTTAAGAGCGTGTGAATCTGAAGGAGAAAATATTGCACACCAAGAAGTACAAGACCAGTCAGAAGGTATAGTTGAATTGATCGTGTCAATCCACATATATTTTACATTTAATATTTGGTTAACACATCGAGAAAAGGGCAACTTTTTTGGTTAGATTGTCTGGGAAATCAACCATCATGTGTCTCATATTGAGTTGTTGGTCGTGATTTGTATAGGATTTAATGAGAAAATGCTTTACGTTTGTTTGAGTGTAGTGAATTAGAACGTAATTTAATGGTAAAGAATGTGATCTTTCATTCACTCAGTATTTTTCAGCACATTGTCTTTTCCATGCATTAATAAATTTCATGTAAGTGACAGGATGTAGTTGTGTTTATTTCACTTTTGTTTAAGTTTTCCTACCGCCATAATCTACCAACACTTTTAAGACCTGTTTTCTTTTTGTTGGTCGAAATTTATGATGATTGACCTACAGTTTTTGCGATCATGAGTGACACAATATCATGAGCAACATTTTTAATTATCTCAGCTGAAACAACAGAAGAAGTTGAGCCTTCTTCGCCAACACGCCAGGAAATTGCTGCTGAAATACACAGTCGTCGATTTAGAGAGTAAGTGATAACCAATAATTGTCTTAATCTCGCTTATATAGGCCATGAGAGCCAGAATTCGATATTCTTTGTTAAGTTAATTTTTGCTTCAAACGCTAGTGAGAAGTCCAGTTTGCATTTTTCTCAATGTTGATAGAACTACATCTCCAAAGAACTCAAGAGGCTACTCCCACCTTGTTTATTATATTGTATGGAATGTGAATTTGAGCAAATTATCACGAAACTTCGTGTTAGCATAAAGGACAACAACAACTGTTACTGCAGAGTTATGCCCCATTCACACCAAAGCTTAAGCACCTTTAAAAGCTGTTCAGTTAAACATGGTATAAAATTGTTTTCTTCATAAAAGCTGCTTACTAACTTATGGCTATTGCAATTTATGTGCAAATTACAGAGAATGTTAAAATTTATCTGAATCTTGTTTAAATGTCCGTGCTCCAGTTTTCCCTTTATGTTTTTTTTTTTTTTATTTTTTCATTTTTTAAAACGTGGGTTAATAAACCTTGTTATAATTGGTGTGAATGGGGCATGCGTTTCATTGACTTTTATCTAGTATTTCCTACAAATTTTAGGATCGTATTTTTACCCTCTGACAAACAGTGTAATTATACTGAAACCGCACTGTGGTACTATCAAAGAGCCTGGCTTACCATAGAAGTGCCCCGGTTGTTCAAACGTTGGATAGCGCTGTTCACTGAATAAATCATTATCTAGCAGATAAGTATTGGTAGGGCACCACTTTTATTATCCACTCCGACTGGACAGAGATTTATTCATTAGCCTGCGAAAACCGCAGCCGTTTCTCCTTGCTCCTCGCCGCTAGGGACGTTTCCTCCAGACGAAACGTCGTCGGCGGCGAGCAACGAGGAGAAACGGCTGTATTCGCAGGCTATTTATCCATGGGATAGCGCTATCCATCTTTCGAACCAACTACAATCCTCGTGACGTTGAGTTGGGACACTCTTTGCAACACCCATATTCCAACAAAAAGTTGTGTTCCTTTCCTCCCAATGTTGAATTTCAGGCTTCTGTGATGCCAACCCGCAAAAATCAACATTGGGAGGGCAGAAAACATCACCACTGTCCCAACTAATGTAACGAGTATTATAGGCGCAGTTAAAGGACGCTTCTTGATATTGTAGCTTGTGTTGAATTTACAGGTACTGTTGGCAGGTCCCTGATAAAGAGGTAGATGCTGTGGCGTCTGAGCTTTTGAGAGAACTTGTGCGGTTCCAAGACAGACAGTTCCATAAAGATCCAATCAAGGTTAAGAGAAACGTTCTTTCTAGTTCTAGTTCGTGGTCTTAAATTAATAACACTTTTCAAAATTTGTAATTGAAACATTTTTCGTCGAATGGACTGTTTTCTATCTCAACATGGATGGTAAAAACATTTACTTTTTTCATGTATTACAAACTTCGGGTAAAACCCAGAGAAACTCCGCGGTAATCGAACAAAATATGCCTGCTTATAAATTTACGCATACCGCCTTGAAGGGGGCATATATTTTTTAATCAGGGATATGTATACTAAATCAATGAGGGTGCACACTTTATACATTGGTTATGTAATTTGCACTTCTAGTTCTTATTGCTCTTTGTTAAGTTTTGTTTTTTGTTTACTTCACAGGCTAAGGCTAAGAGAAGGTTTGTACTGGGCCTCAGAGAGGTTCACAAACATCTAAAATTAAGGAAGGTTAAGTGTGTGATCATATCTTCCAATGTTGAGCGCATCAAATCAGCAGGTTAGTGACACAAGCTATTTAAGTGGGCAGAGGCAAATCAGATGATTGTCCGCTATACTCGAGCAATTAACCCTTTAAACCCTGAGATCAAAATTAAAATTCTCATTTGTCGCCCCTACTCATTTACTGCAGAAGTAGTGAGGAGAAGTTAATACAATATCAAGCAAATTCATCGTGTGTGATTATGTCCGTAATTCTCATGACCACTCTGTTTTACAAAGCATTGCTACTACAAGGAGAAATTTGATACTGATCACTCTTCGGGTTTAGAGGGTTAATACAAATTCAGCCTTATGCCTCAAAACCAATGGTTTTTCGACGGGCATGATTGCTTGAAATCTTTCCCTTTTTTATAAGATCCAGCATAATTTAGTCGCTTTTCCATTCCCTGGTGAAATTATCTCTTAGAAATACCTCCTGTACCAGGAAGTCCCATAGTATGACATACAACCTTTTACCCGCTTTTGTTGATGCCTTAAAGTACTATTTTTTTGGCCGTTAGCTTATACCTGTGTGGAACAGTCTTCCATCCACTGCTGTTAACGCTCCGTCTTTGCCCGTGTTTATGGCCACAGTTAAAAGCTATTTGCCATCACCTATAGCCTGAATTTCAGACGATTACTTCGAGTCGTCTTCTGAATCGACCGGCCGTTAATGTCTTCCAGTGACGTCACTACCCGAAAACTGGGTAGTGACTTTGATTGGTTGATTGTCCAAACATTCACATAATTACGTATAATTATGAGAAATTTTAGCGGGATTGTCGTTTGATATTCAGCGGATCGCATGTGTGGAGTTCAAAAATTTCGAGAATCTTTATCGTAAACAGCAAAATTGAACTGCGAATGAAGAATCATTGTGGAGAGTGGGTAGGTTTTCATTTAGAGCCGAGGTCTATAGACCTTTGCCACGTTCCTGTGAACAAATGCACCAACTCGAGGCTCGGGTGGACAAAATACAGCGATTTGTTTGAAATTGTTCACCTGAGCTTCGTCCTCATTTCTTTATGTTTGCTCACTGGAGCGTGATGGGAGTCAGGTCTATTCAGACGTTACTGAGATAGTAAAAATTATTCGAAGTAATCGTCTGAAATTCAGACTACCATCGCCTGCAGCCTTGCTAATTATAACCACCCATTGCCACAATGAGCCTGTGCCTTAATTTAAGTCGTATCAATTTCAGATACCTTAATTAACACAAACCTCAATTTCCAATAATAAGTTACATTGAATTAACTGTTTTTTCCCAATAGGAGGTTTAGATGACACGGTTGGTAGTATAATAAGATTGTGCGAGGAAAATCATATTCCAGTGGTGTTCGCTCTAAAACGCCAGTTGTTGGGAAGAGTTCTTTTAAAGAAAGTTCCAGTCAGTATTGTTGGGATATTCAGTTACGATGGGGCACAGGTTAGTTAAGAGAAAACACAGCGAGCCCAATGTAGACACTTTGTTTCGAAAAATAAAATATTGTTCACTATTTAAATCAACTTGTTGTCCAATATGGATAAAAGTTTCTATAATTAGTGCATTTTATTTGCCACACGCAAAATTCTACGTCTGAATCAAATGTCGAACCTAAGTCGAATCTTCGCCTGTTTCAGTCGCAGATTCGGCAAAGTGGTATTTAATTTGAAACTGTCGAGTTTAATTGATTCAGACATCGCATCTCACGTGCAGTTAGTTCTCGGATTAAATTCGGCACATGTTAAATTCGACGTTTGAACTGGGCCTTACGTTAGGAGGCAAATTTTGTTTCTAACATGAAACAGACATTGTCAGGAATAAAATCAAACACAATTCTTCTCCCCGGATGTAAATTTTGCTTTCAGGGCAAATTTTTTCTGCTTTAACCAACTGTCAAGAAACAATGTTTCTGCAAAAATAGATCGATCAAACATTTCGTTAACAGCAAAGCCAAAGAAGACCAGGTGACCATTTTCCCGCCAATTATTACGTTTAAACACGAGAAGGATCATTCCAGTTAAAAGAAAGCCTGATAAAAGTTTCATTTCCTGCGTTTGCCATTTCCTGTTTCTAGGGTAAAGAGGAGTAGTGTGTTCACGCTCATAAAAGGTTTTGCCTGCGAGCACTGGGTTCTCCGGGCGCGCTGATAAAAACGTAAAAAAAAATGGCAGAAGCGCGCAGAGAAGCCTCCCACGCAAATGTTTTTTTGGCTCGTCACGCAATCCTCCCCAAAGTGGGGAAGGAACGCGTGACGAAGCCCCAAGAATGTCTGCGTGGGAGACTACATCGGAAGAAATCCGCCTAAAACGAGAACCAAGTCCTTAGTTTTCTTTCGTCTACAAAACGGTAGCTAGGTCAAGCGCCGCGTTTACGTAAAATTTACGGCAAGCGACAAACGGTGAAAAGCAGAGAGTCTCATACGAATGCTAAAGTGTTGTGATAGGTGTCTCTCAGTGTGTTCATTGATTTCCTGTCTGTTCTAGGAACATTTCAAAACACTAATGGATCTAACTCAGAAAACAAAGCAGGCCTATGATGAAAAGTGGCAAGAGGCTAAAGAAAAACTTGAGTTACAACAACAAAAGACATTAGGTACTAATCACTTTCTGTGTCACTTTAATAAGTTTCATAACCGTTCGCAATCAACGTATCTGCGTCTTATCTCAGTGGCGACCAAGCTAAGGTTGGAGCACAGCTGTGATAGTACCACGTCTCTATTTGAACTAGCCTAAAGTAAAGAGATTCCTAGGTTTTATTTTCATGTTCTTTGTCTTAACACAGAGACTACCCCCATTATGTCCCCCGATTTGGGAGCGTCCCCGCCCGCACAGGACACCCAATCAATATAATTTAAACTTAAAAATTATGCAATTGTTCCTCAACGGCGGCGGTCGGTTGTTATTGAAAAGAAGATTTTTATTTTTAGCATAGAAGCTATCGGTCAATTCGCTTACCCTGAACGTCCCGCCACAAAAGACAACTGGTTATGTACTCAATACTGAGCACATGCCTTCCAAAAACTCAAGTATTTTTAGTAGACATATTCTTCACCTTATACCGCGTAGCAAAGGCCCGCAAAAGAAAGTGACTTAAGGTTTCTGCTCTAGCAGCACCCGCCGGGTGGCCCCTGGTGCCTAACTTTTGCTCCCGGCCAAATGCAAGTTCTTAGTTTTTTCATAGAAGTCATTTGCTGGGCACCCTGGATTTCACAGGTTTAAGAGCATAGAGATCCCTTTTAAGTTTTTCTTAGACAACAGCCTTGGAGTTAAGCAAAGAAGTCGTTGAATTACCAGTAATTCGCTAACTTTCCTTCTCTTTTATTATTTTACTAGATGCAAAGAGGCCCGAAATGGAAGTATTATCCAGTGCTGAAGTCCAAGAAGCAGACGACATTTCACAGACAGTGGACAAAGATTTAGGGAAGGAGAATGACCAAGTTCATGACACTGAAAGCAGTGACAATGAGGAGAGAGACAGTGATGAGGAGAACAGTCATGTTCACAGTGAGGAAGAAAACATCATCGTAGAAAATGACTTGGAAATTCAAGAACTGTGAATTTCGTTTTTTTACGACAAGGACGTTATCGTAAATGAATAGTTGACCAATACCCATTTTATTTACCTAAGATCAAGTTGTTTGACATTATTTCAATGCAATGCAATGCCATGCAATTGTGCGTAGTACTAGTATATACCTATGTAGTACCAATAAGTGCTGATGTAGTGCTAATGTGTACCAATGTAGTACTTATGTTAAACAACGTAGTACTAGCATGTGCTATAGTAGTACTAATATAATGATATAATTATACAATGTATGATGAAACGAAACTAAAAACGGCTGGGAGGGAGACTACCTTTGACCTAAAAAACTAAATTGTAAAGGTTTTGAGAGTGTCTTTAATCATTTTAATTACTCTCAGCAAAGCTAATCACGGTGTAGGGTACAACCAAAACATCTTGTTATTAAACCCTATTTAATCAAATTATATATGACTCTATTAAAGTGCAGTTAAAGCCCTGTATCTCAACATTGAGGTAGTAGTTTAAGTTATGTACCGTATCAATACTCCAATGTAATGTAGGTACTCATTTTTTCCCACAACAGTAGAGCATTATAACAGAGAAGTGCATTTAAAATGGTCGGTTAATAGAATTTTATACTTCCTGATGTGATATTGATGATACATTGAAGAGATCTGGTAGCCTGTGTAGCAGGCTTTCCTACCCGTGGTTAGCTAAAGGTTTGAATGACAAAAAAAGCAGCGGGGAAGATTCGTTTTTCTTATCCACGCATAGGAACATTTGATCGCAGGCTACGAAATTCCAGTGCAAAGAAACAGATAGGTTAGTTCTTTGCTAACTTAAATTTTACGGTGAAGTAAATTTGAACTAAATGTAAACAATCGAAAGGAACTGTATGTACATGTAGCAATGAAAAAAAGAGTGTTGGCATTTTCAATTTCCAGTTTATGTACAAAGAGATAAACCAATACATTTAAAATCACACACGCTCCATAGTGATGTTTCTATTAGATTACTGAGTGGTCTCAAAGTAAACCTCTCTTCAATCTCGTATTGAGATCTCTCACGACTTTTCAAACCGACAGTCAGACACCAGTGATAAGTGAGAACGAATTTAACCTTTCCTTTAGTAGAGTCATGTGAATGTTTCTTAATCTCTTACCAAGCAATACTTCACCGTGTGAACGTAAATTTACTTTACGTTGT